GATCAAAGAGAGAGAATGAATGAGAAGGTACAGTGGGAAGCTTTAGACTTGGGAAAAGATGCCGGAATGGAGGATGAGATTGTTAATAAAACACAGATGGCATTAAGAAGGTAAGTAGGGTTTAGGTATCACTGAAACTGAACAACTAGTTGTTCAAAGAAAGGAATTAGATGAGAAGCACAAAGCCAAGACTGGTTGGTGTTACCTTACACACCATACAGTTAAGCTGCCAGACTCCTTGCCAGAGTTAAAAAAGTTTAGAAGTTATTTGACACATTTGCATAAGGAAACTACTTTGTGGGCTATAGAATAGAAAAGTGTTCCTGTGTGCTGCTGGTGGCCAACAGCCCTGGGCAACCAGGGGGCTGGGCACTGGTGAGGTTTCACTGCTTGCAGAAACTTCCCTTGGGTTTTGGAGGTGGGAAAGGGGGTGGATGAACCTGTTGTTCCAGTGTGTTGTGGTTTCTTCTTATGCTGGAGTCCAGGTGCTGCATATTTCTACTCTGATGGGCTTAGCTGGAATGTAGAAGGTGCACAGCAGGCCTTCAGCTGGCTCTGTGCACAGAGCTTGAGTTCAGCCATTAGGGATGTTTCTTGGCTGGTATGCTGTGCTATTTTTGTCATTGTCAGAAAGGATTCAGACCAGAAAGCTGGACAGAGTTCTGCTTCTCCCTGATACAGCAACAGACAAAATTGTATCACAACTGGAAAATCACTTCTGCAGAAAGTGATGTGTCCTTGGTTTAGGATAGACTGAATATATTGGATAAAGGCTGATTTAAACTGGCAGACAAATGAGTTCAGACTTCTGTTGTGGTAACATGGACATAGTTACATGTCTGTGGTCTCATGTGCTGAGTGCCCATGGTCATGGAAAATATTCAGTTAACATTTTAGAATCATGATAATTGTAAACACCAAGCAATTGCTGCCAGGTAGCTCAGGTGATGATTATGGTGTCTGCAAAAGTTAGTTGTCTTTATGTTGAAGTGGCATCCAAATTATTTCCTGGAAAGGAATTCACAGTGTATATTCCAGTCAGTATTCTGCAGTAGGTGCAGAAGTAGTGCAGTGTTAATCTGACAGCCAGGAAGGGCAGGGTAGAGCACAATGAAGCCAGGTAGGACACTCCAGTTTTCCCAGATAAATCTGCAGGTTTCATGCAGAGTGAGGGTACATGTGCTCAGAGCTCCTGCAGGGCAGTCAGAAAATCTCAAGTGGGTCAGATCAAGAATTTTTAACTATTTTATTAGTTCTGTTTTGACAATGTAATAATTGTAATATTTAAAAAGAAGTCTAGATTGTGGCTGAGTATTCATGCAGGTGTGAGATGGGAAGTATGTGGGGGTTCTGTGTGTGATTCCTTGCAGGAGCAGAGTGTCTGGGGGAAGAGCTTGATTGCTTTTGCCTTGAGCTACTCCATAGTTAAAGATTTGCCCACAACATGAGCCAGGCTGCACCCAGTTCATGGGGTCTAGTTTAACAGTGTAGTTTCTGTTTTGAAAACCTAGTGAAAGAGCTTTTTTTCTCTCTCCAGTAGAAGGGAGAGAAAGGCAGAACAATTCTGATCAAAGCTTCGGAATAGGTTCATTTGCAATCCCTTCCTCTGAATAATGTGACTTAAAAAAAACCCAAACCAAAACAAACCCCCTGAAAACAAAGAGGTTGCATTTTGATGATGTGTAACTCATTCTCTATTAATAAATTTGTGTTCAAAACATCTATGTCAGACACAACTGTATCTTTAGAGTAATGTAAAACCATAAAAGTGCAGCATAAGAGGAGCATCTGATCCACTCACACAGCATCTTCCTCACCAGGAGACCAGGAAAAGGAAAAGCTTGTTGGAATCCTGTGTAATAAATCCATGTGATTTCAAACCCCAAAGGTCAGAAGTGACAGGCAAAGCTCTGGTGCTTGCCAGCTCAGCAGCTCTCAGGGTTCCTGTAGTCTGGAAGGTCAAGAGATGGGAGAGGACTGTGTGCCAACCTGTTGTAAAAATTCTGTGTTGAAGTTAAGAGATAATCACAAGGAGCATTAGAACTCAGCTGCAAGATGTGTAGCAAGATAACTATGTTATAAGCATGTTTTTGCATTTCTCTTAGATTCTGGAATGTTTTAAAGTATAGTCCCAAGCCAGGAGTATTACACTAGTCTGGAGATGATGGACAAGGGGTGATGGATTAAAACTGGAAGAGGGGAGATTGAGGTGAGACATGAGGAGGAAATTGTGGAGTGTGAGGGTGGTGAGAGCCTGGCCCAGGTTGCCCAGGGAAGCTGTGGCTGCCCCATCCCTGGCAGTGTTGAAGGGCAGGTTGGATGGGGCTTGGAGCAACCTGGGCTGGTGGGAGGTGTCCCTGCCCATGCAGGGGGTTGGATCTGGATGATCTTGAAGGTCCATTCCAACCCAAACCAGTCTATGATTCTATGATATGATTTTATGAAAATTAGTCCTGGATGAAAGTGATTTGTGGTACTGGGTCCATGTTCCTGAATCAGCAGCTTTGCTCTTGACTAGTGTTTCCAGGAGCAAATACATTATTGGGCAACGTGAGAGCATCCTTGTGATCACTGATTCACCCTCTCTGGTGCTGATTTGGGTAAACTGTCACTTTTCCAGTAGTTTTGAACTGCAGTTCAGGCTGTCTGATGTGTTGAGGTGCAGTCTCACTCTTCACTTTGTGCCTCTTTTCTCTGGGCAAGGTGGGATTTTGCCTGGAAAAATGCTTTGCCTGGAAATGGAGTCATTTACAAGAAGTTGCGAGCATACAAAATTACACTGAGCTTCTAATTTCTTTACCGACTTCAATTTGTTAGCTGCAGAGTGCATGAGCTCATCAAAATAGTTTGAATCAGAGGATCTGCCTCGAAGGCTGCTTTTGCAGCAGCACTTTGTGAAATCAGAGTGTCTTAAATATGCACTCAGTCCTCCCCCACACGCTGAGCTTTCAGCTTCTGACTTTGAAGAGTGCTCCAGCAGAAGCATCACTGAGACAGACCCACAGAATCATCCTGCTTGGAAAAGACCTTGAAGATCATCAAGTCCAACCATAACCTAAATCCCCCTGCCATGACCTAATCTACCTGTTCAGTGCTTAAATCATGTTCCCTAAGCACTGTATCTGTATTTCTTTCCAATACTTCCAGGGATGGTGACTCCCCCACCTCCCTGGGCAGCCTGTTCCACTGTCCAGCCACTAGAAACAGAATGGCCCTGGACTATGCTCTGCATGGTGAAAGTTGAGGAGGCACATACAGATCAACTGGCAAACAGTTTCTATATAATGAAACTTTAAACTTTAAAAGACAGGTTTTTTTTCTTTGCATTGAATGACACTGAGATGTCCTATCTTGGGAAGAGTTCAACAGCACCAATCTTGGCTGTATCTTTTTTTGGTACTTTGAGCAAAAGAATAGGGGAGACCTGGTGATGAAGCTTTGAAGAATGCTCTTCATCCCATGTTTGAAGGGATGGCAAGGCCAAAGACAGCCTGATTTGTCTGTGTTAAATCAAATTGGGTAAGGAGGTTGCGCATAGCAGAAGTTACTGTAATATATGATAATTTTAAAACTTCATTTCCCCAACAAGCCAGCATGGATGCATTGTGGCAGAACCTGCCTTCTGCTCCTCACCAATGTATCTGGACAACCTGAAGTTGGCTTGATCTGGAGTTGTTTTAAAATAAATGCTGTGTCTCATGCTCTCAAAACAATGAGTTCACCAAACCTCTGAAAAATCAGGCTGCTTGTGTAAGTCCCTAAATAAGGCTGGATCATGCCACTTGGAAAAGAGTTTTGTAACTTGGCATGTGTCCTCTGCCCAGGAGGCAGACACAGGGCCATGCAGGGTGGCAGGGCACTGTGATAAAAGGCTGCCTTTCCCTGGTGACAGCCTCTTGGAGAAGGCCATTAGGTCTGGTCAGACAGACATCGTGTCCCCAGGTCTGGGAGGTGGTTCTTGGGTTACTGAAGCTGTGGCTGAGCTGGGTGGTGGTAGCAGGCAGGAGGGAGGCTGAACCTGGTCACTTCCAGAGGTCCTTTCCAGCCCCTGAGCCTGTGGTTCTGTGGTCAGCCCACAAGGCAACACAGGACATGGACACCACTTACCTAAGCTTCACCTTTTTGTTGGGACACAGCCAGGAGATTCTCAGTAGTTCCCAGTAGTTCCCAGGGACAGGACGAGGGGCAACGGGCACAAGCTGGAACATGGGAAGTGCCAGTGAAATATGAGGAGAAACTTCTTTATGGTGAGGGTGACAGAGCCCTGGGACAGGCTGCCCAGGGAGGGTGTGGAGTCTCCTTCTCTGGAGATATTCCAACCCCCTGGATGCAGAACTGTGGGATGTGCTCTAGGGGATCCTACTGCAGTAGGAGAGTTGCTAGAGGGCTAGATGATCCCTAGAGGTCCCTTCCAGCCCCAGCAGTGCTGTGATGCTGTGCCCTGCCTGCTGTGGGGAGCCCTGGTTGCTATGGGAGTCTGCAGGGCAAATAATTCCAGAGTCCAAGTGAGCTGAGGGGCAGGGCTGTGAGGAGCCAGCAGCAGCACCAGGTACAAGTCTTGTAGTGCCCCAGCAGCAGGGTGGAAAGGAGATTCTTGACTTCTCAAGCAATACTGAGACATCCACCTAGGATTCTGTGATGATCTTCAGAGGTCCCTTCCAACCTCTTATGATTCTATGAGATACTATAGTAACCAAGAAGAAACAGCTCTTTGCTGCAAAGAGTCTTTCACAGCTTTTCTCACCTTCAGGCTTTTGTTTAAAACTTGGGGTGTTTGTTTACTGGGCAATTCCTGCAGTTGGTCACCGAGGGTGCTGTAGGAGGGGAGTTTCTGTTGGAATAATTTATTTGCCTCTTTTAGGGCAGTAATTATTTACTAAGTATCAGGAGTTGTCTGGATTATGCCCAGTTAATTATCAGCTCAACCTCTGTGAAAGTGCACGCAGTGAAAAATACTTAACACAAAAATTTGAAAGTCGTTCTTTTTCCTCTCGTTTCAGGTCCTGGGTCCATGTGTCACATCTGAACTTTGTTGTCCTCATTCTCTGAACACCACCTCAGACCAGCTCCTTGATGCACACTCACGGCATCATGGCCAGCACTCAGGAGCGCCTGAGCTTGTCTTCCCCTCCAAACTCGGTCAGCAAAGCTCTCTGTGAAGACAAAGACTTTAGTAGGTTACAGGAGGAGCCTGCACCTACAGGAACCCACCCATCCCCTGAGCTCCTGGAGGATGTCCATGAGAAGGGCTCTCTGCAGGCAGACCTTGTGGAGAACATGAGCAGCCCGGTGACTGCGGCCGTGCTGACCAGCATCAGCGAGGACTCCAGGGACCAGTTTGAGAACAGTGTGCTGCAGCTGAGGGAGCAGGACGAGCCCGAGACACCCATTCCTCAGGGCAACAGGAACACAGTGGATGGAGAGAACAACGGTGGGGCAGAGGAGGTGAAAGTCCAGTTCAACAGGTCGGGCAGCGGGAGCGGCGGGTTCCTCGAGGGGCTTTTCGGTTGCCTGAGACCCGTGTGGAACATCATAGGCAAAGCCTACTCCACGGACTACAAGCTGCAACAGCAAGGTGAGGAGGGGGACAAACCTTTCTTGCCTCTGGGGGAGTGTGTGAAGGTGAGGAGAGCAACCTTGGGCTTTTTCCCAGCTTCCCATGTGACCGTTTTTTGTCTCGTGCGGTAAGAGACAAACACATCATTTGTAGCAGAAGCAACTTGTGATGGTGTTGGAATAAACTGCCTGTTCTGCCCCAGGCCTTGGACTGCTGTGACATGGCCTGAATCTGAACCAAGTATTCGGGTAAGGGAGGATCAGATGGATGACCATGAGCCAGCAATGTGCCCTTGTGGCCAAGAAGGCCAATGGTCTCCTGGGGTGGGTTAGAAAGGGGGTGGTTAGTAGGTCAAGGGAGGTTCTGCTCCCCCTCTGTTCTGCCTTGGTGAGGCCACATCTGGAGTGTTGTGTCCAGTTCTGGGCCCCTCAGTTCCAGAAGGACAGGGAACTGCTGGAAAGAGCCCAGGGCAGAGGCACAGAGATGCTGGAGGGAGGGGAACATCTCCCTGCTGAGGAAAGGCTGAGGGAGCTGGGTCTGTTGGGCTTGGAGAAGAGGAGACTGAGGGGCATCAATGTTTATAAATACATAAACAGCAAGTGTCAGGAGGATGTAGCCGGGTTCTTCTCAGTGATGTCCAGTGACAGGACAAGGGGCAATGGGTGCAAACTGGAGCACAGGAGGTTCCATGTGAATCTCAGGAAGAACTTCTTTCCTATGAGGGTGACAGAGCCCTGGGACAGGCTGCCCAGAGAGGCTGTGGAGTCTCCTTCTCTGGAGACATTCCAACCCCCCTGGACACGTTCCTGTGTGATGTGCTCTGGGTGCCCCTGCTCTGGCAGGGGGGCTGGGCTGGGTGATCTTTCCAGGTCCCTTCCAACCCCCAACAATCTGTGATTCTGTGATCAGAAAGAATTCTGTTGAATGCAGGGATTGTACCAATGACTCCATTGCTGCAGGGTTTTCATGCTAAGTGAAGAACATAAGCAGAGGTATTGTCATCATGCCAGAAGAAGAACATTGACATTGAACTCCTGTATGTGTGTGTGAAAGCTGGCACCAGTTGACCACCAAGTAGAAGTATTGCTTCCCTGTGGGCATATTGCACAAACTTTTATGTCTTCATTCAGGAATAATTTTACTCATCAAAATTTCACTCAGTACTTATCTTTCTAGATATATATCCTTTAATGTTCATAACTTTTCATTTAGATGGAGATTTGTGTGTGTTTGAGTATAAAAAGATATACATATTTTAAAATTAAATACATATATATGTAAAATACGTAGCTTGGGAATAAGTAACAGTCACATACATATATATTTAGGGGCTACTAAAAGCTAAAGAGCAGAGTATGCTCTGCCTTTGGTGTGTAATTGCTCCCCTAGCACAGGGGGAGGGAGGTGGCAGATGGGAAGACAACAAGCTGTCACTAGAATTAGGAGCTGAAATGGTTGAGGCTTATTGAGCATGGGAACAGCCTGGCCACCCTGGGGTAGAAGTCTCCTGTGTTGCTGTGATCATGACTTGGTACTTACCAAATGGGTTTTTGGCCCAGACAAATTGCAGAAGCTGTGGTCAGAAAACCCAGCTGAGTGGTTCATAGCTAAACCTCAGAGCTGTGTTGGGGAACAGCTCCTCGTGTGAGGGAACAGAGCTGGGAAATAACACATTGGGTGAATCTGCCTTGCAGTAAACTTGCTCCTCCTTCCTAGAGCTCATAGAACCATTGAATGGTTTGGGTTGGAAGGGCCCTTAAAGATCATCCAGATCCAACCCCCTGCATGGGCAGGGACACCTCCCACCAGCCCAGGTTGCTCCAAGCCCCATCCAACCTGCCCTTCAACACTGCCAGGGAGGGGGCAGCCACAGCTTCCCTGGGCAACCTGGGCCAGGCTCTCACCACCCTCACACTCCACAATTCCCTCCCCATGTCTCACCTCTATCTCCCCTCTTCCAGTTTCATCCCTTCCCCCTTGTCCTCTCCCTCCCTGCCCTTGTCCCAAGTCCCTCCCCAGCTTTCCTGGAGCCCCTTCAGGCACTGGAAGCTGCTCTAAGGTCTCCCTGTGACCTTCCCATCATTGTTTCCAGTTCCTGACTCTGAGCAGGGAGCTGCATCTCTCCACTGTGGAGTGGCAGGAGCCTCCTGAGCATCAGCCTCTTGTCTATCAGACCTGTCTGTTCAGTAAGAGTTCCTTTGTTTTGAAATCCTTTGGCAAAGTTGGTTCTAAGTTTTGTCTGCGTGTGTGTTGGTGTGATTGCTCAGGTGGTGAGTTTTGGAAGAGACTGGGGAGCCTCCCTTGTGGAGGAGAACAAGCTTTGGAGCAAAGGAGACACAGTGTCATTGTGTCTGGGTTACTCTGCTGTGGGTTGGGTGCTCAGGGAGTTTTTAAGTTGAGCTGAAACTTCCCAAGGAAAGGGCACAGGTGTGGAGTTCCATCAGCTGCTTCCAGCAGGTCCCTGGCAGCTCAGTTGGGAAGCCTCAGGAGCTACCTGGCAGCTCAGGTGGGAGGCCTCAGGAGCTACCTGGGTCCTCAGTTGGGAAGCCTCAGGAGCTACCTTCAAGGCCAAGCACTCGTATTTTGCATGTAATTGGGACAGCAGATGCATTGGAGACCAGTTTAATGTGGGCTGTGATGGCCCCTAGGGGACACTTTCTTTTGTGTGAAAGTCACTAATAGAAAAATGGAAGCACTAACTAATGAAAATGAGCAGCTGAGAATGTTGCTGTGTTTGAGGGGTGCACACAGAGCTCCTCCTCATGCACACAGAACCCTCTTGCTGTTCTCAGTGTCATGAGCACGTTCAGAGCCAGGGATTCATGGACACTTCACAGTTTGCCATTGGCATCAGGCCCTTCCTGGAAGGGCAGTTTGGAAAAAGCCACAGATGTGGGAAGGCTGAAGATTAATTGGGATCTGCTGTACGTGGCCTCTGTGGTTTAGCTGCATATCCAATGTCTTCACTGTCATAAACAAGAGTGAAAAGATTTTTTAAAAAACCCCAAACCCCTTCGTTTTCTCCTCTGGAGCTGATCTGATGGTAGAACTATGGGGTGTAGTATCCAAGGAGAAATCTTTTTAAACTGCTTTTGCTAAAACCAGAGGATTTTGTCAGAATATTCATGTTCTGTTTTCCAGATGATCTCATTCTTGCTTCTTGCCACCAGAAGGATCTCCTACATGTGCATTTCATCAGCTACATCCAAGCCAGCACTTCAGGAACTGACACCTGGGGTTGCTTTTAGTTTTGCTGCCTTTTAGCAGGAGTGCAGAGGACACCAGGCTGGTGTTTGTGCAAGTGGAGAAGCCAGGCTGAGGAAATGTGTCTGGCCCTTCTAGCAGTAGAGAGAGGCTTGTGGTGGCCTTTCCTTCTCCTGGGATGAGCTTATTTACAGCTTTGGGCAAGTGCCACAGAGCTGAGCAAATGGTCTTTCCCCTCTTCATGATGCAGCTGTTTTAAGCCAGAGGAGTGTTTGGTTGCTGATCTGGGAACACTCCTTGGTGTTGGGCAGGATCAACAACTGGGTTGGGGATCTGGTGTGGACCTGTACACCTGGGGCACTCCACATTGCCAACAGATGCTGCCTGGACCTTCTTGCCACTCCCTAGCATCCCTGCTCACCCATTTTGGATCTTCTTCAGGCAACTGCTCCTGTGCTATGAACACAAGGTGCCCAAACACTGGTGGTGTGATGTGGTTGCATATATAAGCAGGTCTCATGTCCATGTTACCTGCAAAGGCTTGGCTTGGTGAGTGGGGGAAAAGATAAGAACAGCTTCTACAGGATTCCCCATTATCTTCTGGCTGAAATTACTCCTTGGTTTCCTTCTCAGCATCTGAGATGGTCCTCAGGAGGCATGTGTTTCTGTGCTTCCCTGAGGGCCTGTGCTGGGCAGAGCTTTGCTCAGCTGGGAGGTGCTGCAGGCTGGTCTGCTGGTTGACCAGGCAGTGTCAGTTGCTGTTGTTCAACCTGCTACCTGCTTGGTGAATAGTCATTCCTGCAGGGAACTTCTGCTTTTCTCTTGTTCAGGAGCTGCCAGCTGATCATCTGAGCCTTAAGTATTTTGGGATTTACCTGTAAAATCAGTCCTGGGTATGTTTTCCCAGCTGTTTGCCCTGACATCTGACGGTTGTTGGTGAGTGCTTTCAGGGAGATCCACTCAGTTCTTTAGTTTGCATGTACCAGTTAATCCCTTTGGATAACTGGGACTCTAGCACTTCATAGTCAGACTTGTCTGTGTTTTCTACAGACTCATGAGACTTCTGAACCATTTCCTTTGGATTAAGAATCTGTCTTCAGGAGTTGCTTTCACCTTCCCCTTCACAGCTTAGGTGTTTATTGTTTATTTTAGTGTAAATCTGAAGAACAAGGTGCTTTATGAAGTGTGCTTGTGTTGGTGGGGTTTTTGGCCCCCCTGGCTCTGTGAGCCAGAGATGCTGCCTGTCACTATGCCAGTGCTGGTGAGCTGCCAGCTCTGGCAAAAATAGATGGACTCAATGGCTCAGCCTGCTCCTGAGTCTGCATTTCTTCCCCATGGGAAGCAGATCCCCATCGTTGGACTCAAATGATTCTTAATCACCTTAGAAACGCGTCGCCTTGCGTAATTCCTGCTGCAGTTGCACTTGAAGTTGTTTAGAAGAAGTATTCCACAGGTTCCTTTGAGCCCAGAAGAGTCTGGAATAAAAACTGCCCCGTGCTGGTATGAAGTACCCCCATCTTGCTTCTGCTGGAGGTGGGGGAAGTGCTGGGAGAGCTGCCTGGCCAGTCTCCAGGGTTGTTCAGCTGAGCAACGTTCACGGACATCTTGAGCAAGGCTGGCAGAACAGTTGTCTTGATTGGTGTGTCCCATCCCTGGCAGTGTCCAAGGGCAGGTTGGATGGGGCTTGGAGCAACCTGGGCTGGTAGGAGGTGTCCCTGCCCATGCAGGGGGTTGGATCTGGATGATCTTGAAGGTCCTTTCCAAACCATTCCATGATGCTGTGGTGCCTGGAGCGCAGCCCTTTGGTAGGACTGGCTGTGTCTGACTCTGGCAGGAATGGTTTGAGGGAAGGATGTGCATCAGGATCAGGCCAGGGACGTAATTCCTGCTGCTGTTGCACTTGAAGTTGTTTAGAAGAAGTATTCCACAGGTTCCTTTGAGCCCAGAAGAGTCTGGAATAAAAACTGCCCCGTGCTGGTATGAAGTACCCCCATCTTGCTTCTGCTGGAGGTGGGGGAAGTGCTGGGAGAGCTGCCTGGCCAGTCTCCAGGGTTGTTCAGCTGAGCAACGTTCACGGACATCTTGAGCAAGGCTGGCAGAACAGTTGTCTTGATTGGTGTGTCCCATCCCTGGCAGTGTCCAAGGGCAGGTTGGATGGGGCTTGGAGCAACCTGGGCTGGTAGGAGGTGTCCCTGCCCATGCAGGGGGTTGGATCTGGATGATCTTGAAGGTCCTTTCCAAACCATTCCATGATGCTGTGGTGCCTGGAGCGCAGCCCTTTGGTAGGACTGGCTGTGTCTGACTCTGGCAGGAATGGTTTGAGGGAAGGATGTGCATCAGGATCAGGCCAGGGACAGTTTGGATGTGCAAGTCCCTTCAGTGGTGACACTCTCTAAAATGAACACTTTATCATAGTCCCAGCTGCTGCCCTGGGATCTCCCCAGTGGCTCAGGGACTGGCTGGAAGAGGTCATGTCTTTGTAGTGACCCACAACAGGGATCTGTGCAGGCACAACTCCCTCTGAGTGCAGAAATCCCTGGGTTGCTTCTTGGTTTTGCTGCTAAATAATTTATTCTTGAAAGTTACGGAGTTACTGAGTTACAGGAAATAAATGATTGCCTGCCTTTTATCTTGCTGTTTGTGGGATGTTAAGGTAATTTCAAGGTGACTTAGAGACAACTGTCTTGAAGCACTTTCTGTGGTGCTTCTAGACATGAGATGTCCCTGCAAGATGCACGTGGGTACCTAAGAGGGTCCCTTAAGTTGTTCTTTTTTGGCCCGTTTGGAACTGACACTGTTGGTGTGGGAAAGACCTGTGTGTGCCTGGGGGTGGTGGTTGATGTACTTTGTGTTGGGTAACTTGGTGAGTGCTGCTCTGTGTTTTATAACCTCCCACCTCTGGTTCTCCTTTTTATTTCCTATTTTTGCCTTGTTCCATGGGGGGCAACCCCTCCATTTTTTATTTTTGGGGGGAGGGTCAATGCTTCAAGATTTATTTTTTTTTTCTCATTTGTGCTTTTCAATGGAGTCATGGACTTCATAAGTCATGGTTCATTTTGGAGTCCAGGGCCTGTTTGCAGTGTCCCTGGGGTGTCACACTGCCACGCCGAATGTTCCTGGTGGTGGTGAGATCCTGAAGAAGCAGCTGGGAGGATGGGAAGGAACAGGCTGGAGGAGCTGGATGAAAGGAGCCCTGAGGCTGAGCTCGTGCTCCCGGTGCCTCAGCTGTGCCCATCCTGGGAGGAGATGCCATCACCTCCAGGAAAGTCCACATCGAGATGCAGCAGGGGAGGTGGCAGGGGCTGCCCTGGTGTGAGCTCCCAGCAGAGTGTTCCCGTGGTCTTGCTCTCTTTACCCTCTCCCCTGTCCTTGCCTGTGCCTAGACACGTGGGAGGTGCCGTTCGAGGAGATCTCGGAGCTGCAGTGGCTGGGCAGTGGGGCGCAGGGAGCCGTCTTCCTGGGCAAGTTCCGGGCCGAGGAGGTGGCCATCAAGAAGGTCAGAGACCAGAATGAAACGGATATCAAGCACCTGAGGAAGCTCAAACACCCCAACATCATCGCGTTCAAGTAGGTTGTGCAACCTGGCAGCAACGTTTTAGCCAGGGAAGAGACATTTCCGTCGGTACCTTGGCCAGGTTCTTAAAATTCAGGGACTAAGTTGTCTGTGGGACAGGATGGGTGGTTGTCCTTGCTCGTAAGTTGTTGTGTGTTCTTGTGAGAACAAAGCTATGGGCACCATTCCCATCCAGTGCTGTGCTCTGGGTGCAGGCTCACAAAATGAAAGTCCCATCCCTGGCAGTGTTGAAGGGCAGGTTGGATGGGGCTTGGAGCAACCTGGGGGGTGGGACTGGATGATCTTTAAGATCCCTTCCAACCCAAACCATTCCATGGTTCTATGGAAATGCCTGTTGTGAACTGTACAAATCTGCAGGTGTGGAAGCTGAAGGAAACCTGCCCCTGCCATCAGGGAGGTTCCTCCTGTGCAAAGCATGCAGGACATTCCCCTCCCTGCTCAGGAAGGCACCATTAGCAGAACCTTCCCCAGGCAAAGCGAACAGCTCGCTCTCCTGCCCCACGATTGCCACCTTTGGGAGTTGCTCTGGGACTTTTGACTCTCCAGATCCTCACTGGCTGTGTCTTCTCTTTGACAGGGGAGTCTGCACTCAAGCCCCGTGCTACTGCATCATCATGGAGTACTGTGCTCATGGGCAGCTCTACGAGGTCCTGCGCGCAGGGCGCAAGGTCACCCCGCGCCTGCTCGTGGACTGGTCCACAGGGATTGCCAGTGGGATGAACTACCTGCACCTCCACAAGATCATCCATCGGGACCTCAAGTCACCAAAGTGAGTCTCTAGCTACTAAAACATCCCCCAGCTGTGGCTCTTCTTCTTTTTTTTTTTGTCCTGAGGAAGAAATTAAAGTTAGGTAAAAATTCCCGTTATTTTTTTTTCCATGACTCAAAAGGAATGAGAATGGAATTAATGGGACTTGTTGCTACTCCCCTCCTGGGCTGCCATATCCCAAGAGTGGGAATTTTACCAGTATCTTACAAGCTAAATAGCAGCCAGGAAATACTTCTCATGATTTGGTGCTGCCTGGATCCTTTTGAAAGTGGGATATTCTGTTGCCTTCTGCTTTTTCATTATTTTTCCTTCTTAATTGCTTTTATGTAACTTCCTGGTTTCCTGGAATGCATCTTCCTCATTTCTCTGACTAAAATTATTTGGCTGCTTATATTCTTATTCCCTGCATGTTGATCACTCCTGTAGCCTGTGACAGTGTGTTAGGATGGTACTTTCAGATGGTTCACAGAACAGTTGAAGGCACAGCCTTCGCAGCACCCCCAGATGCAGTGAATCTCCACTGACTCATTGACTTGAATTTTTGTCAAGCTTGGTTTTTGACTTGTAGCATTTAGAAGTGCACCTGAGGCACGAAACACAACGACCCCAAAGGAAGTGAGTGTTTTGGTGGTGAAAATGCAGGTTCTGCTTGACCAACCTGATCTCCTTCTATGACCAGATGACCTGCCTGGTGGATGAGGGAGGAGCTGTGGATGTTGTCTAGTTAGACTTCAGCAAAGCTTTTGACACTGTCTCCCACAGCATTCTTGTAGAGAAGCTGGTGGCACATGGCCACCACAGAGAGGTGCACTCTCCTCTGGGTAAAAACTGTCTGATGGCCAAGCCCAGAGGTTTTCAGTGAGTGGGGTTGGATCCAGCTGGTCACCAGTGGTGTCCCTCAGGGCTCAGTTTTGGAGCCAGTCTTGTTAAATATCTTTATCAATGATCTAGGTGAGGGGATTGAGGGCTTCCTCAGTCAGTTTGCAGATGATACCAAACTGGGTGGGAGTGTTGACCTGCTTGAGGGTAGGAAGGCTCTGCAGAGAGACCTGGACAGGCTGGATTGATGGGCCAAGGCCAATGGGATGAGGTTCAAGTGCTGCATTTTGGTCACAACAACCCCAGGCCATGCTGCAGGCTTGGGGCAGAGAGAGCTGCCCAACAGAAGAGGACCTGGGGGTGCTGGTTGACAGCCAGATGAACATGAGCCAGCATGTGCCCAGGTGGCCAAGAAGGCAAATGGCATCCTGGCCTGCAGCAGGGACAGGGTGGCCAGCAGGAGCAGGGAGGTGATCTGAGCCCTGTGCTCAGCACTGGGGAGGCTGCACCTCAAGCACTGGCTGCAGGTCTGGGCCCCTCAGGGCAGAAAGGACACTGAGCTGCTAGAGTGTGTCCAGGAGCTGAGGAAGGGTCTGGAGAACAAGTCATATTGAGGAGCAGCTGAGGGAACTGGAGGTGTTTAGTTTGGAGAAGAGGAGGCTGAGGGGAGAGCTCATTGCCCTCTGCAACTGCCTTGCTGTAGTGAGGGGAGTGTTGGCCTCTTCTCCCAAGTGGATAATGACAGGACCAGAGGAAATGGCCTGAAGCTGCACCAGGGGAGGGTCAGACTGGAGATGAGGAAGAATTTCTTTACTGGAAGAGTGGTCAAGCACTGGGACAGGCTGCCCAGGGAGGTGCTGGAGTCACCATCCCTGGAGGGATTCAAGAACCATGGTAGATGAGGAACTTCACATCATGCTTTAGTTGCTGAGGTTGCAGGTTGTGGGTTTTGAGGTGTGGTTTTGTGGTGGTTTGTGTGTTGTTTGGGATTTTTTTGTGTGTGTGTGTTTTGTTTTGTTTGTTTGTTTTATGGTTGGACTTGGTGATCTCAGAGGTCTTTTCCAACCGTGACTATTCTGTGCTCCTGTGAAAAATTAGCAAAGTGTTGATTTATTTTCTTTTTCTTTTTTTTTTTTCTTCAGTGTTTTAGTTACACACACAGATGCAGTAAAGATTTCAGATTTTGGTACATCTAAGGAACTCAGTGATAAAAGCACCAAGATGTCTTTTGCTGGGACTGTGGCTTGGATGGCCCCAGAGGTGATACGCAACGAGCCCGTCTCTGAGAAGGTGGATATCTGGTGAGTAGTGTTCATGGTTTCCTGTCCTCACCTGCTCTTTAGCCACTTGGTTTCCCAGCACTTTTCATATTAGTCTTCTCTCATCCTAGGCACGGGGACAGTTTGCTCTGTGGTGGCCTATTCCTTTCTCCATCTGCCCAGTGCCCTGAGCTGGACCCTGGGCTGGAACAGAAAGAGAAGTGATGTGTGTGTGAAAGCCTGAGGTCTGCAGGTACCTAGTGAGGCTCAGTGCAGACTGTGTCTTGCAGTAAGGAAATGCAGCAGTTCTTGTCTGTGTCATTATTTTCGCCAGAGCTTTCTTCCACTCCTGGTGCTCAGGGCCCCCTCAGCAACTTCTGAAGCCAGGACATTTTCCACTTGCTCTCTACCCAGTTCAGGGCCGTGCCTGATCTGTAGGAAAGTATCTACTCTGCTAGCTTGAAGGGTCTGACCACCACCTGCTGTCTGCATGCTGGGCTTGACTGTTATGTGCACAGCCACAGGGTTATCCAGTGAGTCTAACCCTGGAGCCAAGAAGGAGGAAACCAGGATACACTGTGAGACTTTGGAACACCTGCTTCCATCCCATGTGAAATGTACTCTGTGTCCAAAGGAGCAAGAGGAAAGGTTCAGATCTCCATGCTATTAAAAATGCTTGAGGTAGGACTCAGCCTTGGAGGTCCTTTGGGATACCTCACCACAGGTTTCAGGGTCCCACCACAGGTTTCAGGGTCCTCAAGGGAACTTCATCTCTGTTCCTGCCTTGTTATTTCTGCTATTAAGTGTCAGGAGCCAGGACAAATGCCCTTTTCCCTGCTTTACAGCCAGGGTGAATATTCCTTCTTGTGGTTTTTCAGCTTCAAATGCTGTCACCTCCCTTAAGCAGCACGAAGCTGTAGGTGGAGGCTGTGAGGGGAGCCAGCCAGCAGCTGCTGCTGGTGGTTTAGCTGGGGCAGGACTTTAAGGCCAGAATTTTTTTTTAAGGTCTTGGAACATGCAGCACACAGCTCTTCTTGTGCTGCAGTGTTTTGTGTGGTCATTCTGTGTGGATGTAGCAGCACAGCCAGCTCTTCTGGGAGAAACTCTTGGATTGTTTTGGAAAGAAAATACACTCACCATTTGTCTTCTGAGCTCCTCCCTTTGAATCGTGGTTCATGAGGGGGAGTGGTGCTGGATTTCCAGCCTCAGCTTTCTGTCCTCTAGAGTGGTTTAGGTTCAGGAATATGGTGTGAAGCATCATGTCCAATAAAACCAGCTTTGCTGGACACTCCTCTCCTCCTTTCCTCAGTGGCTTCAGAAGTGTTGGTCTTTGGTGCAAACTTGGAGGTGCCTTTGGTGTAAGTTCCTCTTCAGTTCTCTTCAGTGGAGATTGCTCAGACTCCTTGGCATCCATTCCTCCCCCAAGATAAGTAAAAGTGTTGTTCATGAATGCTGACAACAAATGAGAACAGTTCCTAAGCTGCTTATGTGTCTGCTCTCCCTCATCTTCTAACAGCATGCTGGAAAAAAAATCTATAATCTTATCAGGAGTCTTGAAAATCCTTTGTCAGTTCTTAATCATAACAAAGCTGAAACCAGTTGGGGTTTCCTGCTAGTTTGTCCAACCACCTGGATCTCTGCTTTCCTGCAGCTCACATTAAACATTTTTGAGAGAGAAAAAAAAAAAGTTCAAATACTGCTTGTTTAATTATGGTGGATTTTTTTTTGTTTGTTTTGTTTGGGGTTTTTTCTCCCCCCACAATTTGAAGCCAATGGGATCTGAAACTGCAGTCTTTTTCACTTGAAGTTCTGTTTCCTGCTGGATGGTTCTTCAGACCCAGGCAGTTTGTTCCTTTGATGTTCTTCTGTGCTTGATAAAAGCAACTTGATATGAGGATGAGCCAGAAACACACTTTTCACTTCTCAGCTGGTTGGGCTGAGCCAGCAGGCTTGGTAGGGTGGGTGTCCCACAGAGGGATGGGGTGTGGAAGGGAGGTGACAGGTCTGGGTTTGGAACTGAGGTGGTTGAACCTCACCTCTCATGGCAACCTGGTTGGGAACCTGCAGTGAGTGCTGTTGGTTCTCAGCAGCATTTCGTTGACCTCTGTGTTGACTGCTTGGATATTTCTTGGTTGGTTTATTGGGTGAACACTGTAAATAAAAACTGCTGTTATAAGTTCAGGTTTTGGTCCTTACTGGTTGTTTCACTAACGGAGAGAGAAGCAAAGGGAGATTTCTTACCTATATCTTCCAGTTCTTGTGCTAGGAGATTCTTTTCCAGGCAGAGTTCCCTTAACTCATCATTCTTTAGCCTTCCTTTCCTCAGCACAGAAGAAATGTCAGAGGAGACTGGGTCTGCTTTTGATACTGACACTTAAACATGTTGCATTTGTTTCTTCATTTCTAAGTTCCAGCAGTTGCAGCACTGAGTCTCAAACCGATGGAACTCTGACTTAGGAGTACAAGTAACAGCAGAGGGAGCTTTTGGCTAGAGAAAAAAACATTAAATTAAGTGTAAATAAAACAACTCTGCAAAATACAATCTATTTTCAGTTGTCTCTAAGACACTTATGAGTTCTACAGTCTCCCCTGTAGATTTTTGACAGTTACTTTTAATAAGAACAGATCACCTGCTATCTCAGAACAGCTGTCTTTCCTCTTTATTTCACAGGACTAAGATTTCATGTCTACAGAAAAGCTCAGAACATGCCTTCAGGATTTTAAAAATCTCACAAAGAATTAGGAAAGGGTGGGTGAAACCCAGTGTGTCTTGATGTTCAGCCCAGCCCTGGGACAAGAAGAGGAAGAGTTACCTTGTGTATGAAACAGTTATTCTTGGTTCACAACTAGTATATAAATGCTGTTGCACCTACTTGCAATTTCAGATCTGACACACCTGGCAAAAATAGTGCTGGTTTGTTGTTTTTTTTTTCCCCAGGCTTCAGATGTTTGTGTTAAATTGAATCCACACAGAAGCTTTTCTCCTTCTTCGTTTCCTCATTAGGTCATTTGGGGTGGTTTTGTGGGAGCTGCTCACAGGGGAGATCCCCTACAAGGATGTGGACTCCTCAGCCATCATCTGGGGAGTGGGCAGTAACAGCCTGCACCTTCCTGTCCCTTCCACCTGCCCAGATGGCTTCAAAATCCTCATGAAGCAGACCTGGTAAGAACCTGAGCCCTGCACTGCTCCCAGCAACACCAGTGAAACCCGGGTCAGGGTGGGAGTGTTGAGCCCAGAGCAGAGGGCACTTAAATACACACTTGTCAAGAGAGTTGAAACACTTGGGATTGTTGTGGCAGCAGGTCCAGGGAGGGAGCTGTGGAGAGGGGTGAGGGAGGGAGGAGCTGAACAGGAGAGAAGAGGGGAGGTAGAACTTGATGAGAGCCCCAGCAGGGTGGCAGATGCCCAGGACTTGCCTGTCCAGTGTGAATCAGGAGCTGGCAGCATGAAGGTCTTCAGCAGCCTGCACAGAGGTGGCTGCTTTCTTGTAGTAAAGTAGGTGCTTAAAGGCAGCTCTTTGGTAACAGAAACAGAACTGGAAGGAAAGTAGAAGTAGAATTTCTGGAAGGTGGCTCCAGAGTGAGAGAAAGTGATTCTTCACTCAGAAACACCCTTGTTAGTGACTGGCTTTTGAGCTGCACTGAGAGAAATTGGAACTTTCTCTATGAAATCAGGATTTTGCAGTTATAGATATAGAAACTGCTTTCACTGTCCCCCATGTGCCAAATTAGAGTAGAAATCCTTTGTCTTGGTTTGTGCATTAATGCATAGTCTTTGTAACTGCATCCTGACACAGAGTAGAAGTGGTTTTCCAGCATTTTCCCACTCTCATGAGTTTTCATGGAATCGTAGACTGGTTTGGGTTGGAAGAGACCTTAAAGCTCATCTAGATCCCACCCTCCTGAATGGGCAGGGACATGTCCCACAAGACCAGGTTGCTCAGGGTCCCATCTAACCTGGCCATCCTCATGAATGGCCCAAAGGGACAAACAGGCCAGAGCATCAGTGGATCTCTTCAGGTGGCTGTTCCCCCTGCAGCAGGTGGGGCTGTTGCTCTGCCTGTGCTGAGCCCTGTGCTGCCAAGGGCAGGGAGCAGCTCCCACAGCTCCAACACCCAGTGCCAACACTTGTACCCCCACCTCATAGGAGGAGCTGGGTTGTAGGGGACAGGAGGCTGAAGAAGCTATTTCTGGTCCTGAGCATGCACATAGCAAGTCTGGTGGATTCAGTCCTGGTGCTGGAGTGTTGGACTCCTTTATCAATTATGTACATGTTTGTACATGTACATGTGGTCTTAGAGATGGTCAGAGCACTGCAGTGCTGTGTAGGCTCAGGTGGGGACTCTGTGGCAACCTTTGGTGTTTACAGGCAAATGTTTTGTTGAATGTAAATTATCATTTTTACTAGATTGAATATTCTCAGGATGAAACCTGGAAATTAATGGAATAATGAATAGAGATCTGCTTCTTCTTGACAAAAAAAGTTAGAAACAGTTTCAGTTTGTATCCTGTCTTTCCCTCTGTGGTCACCTTTTTCTATTTTAAATGGTTTTCATTTCTTTCTGTTGCTTCAGAGGAAATCATCACAAACCAAAAACTGAAAACAAAACAACTTGAGCCCAATAAACTTGTATCCACCAGAAGAGAAAACCAGAAAAGCTCCTTTTGACAAGGGCTTGTAGTGAGAGGACAAGGGGTGATGGATGAAAACTGGAAGAGGGGAGGTTTAGGTTAGAGATCAGGAGGAAATTCTTTGTTGTGAGGGTGGTGAGAGCCTGGCCCAGGTTGCCCAGGGAAGCTGTGGCTGCCCCATCCCTGGCAGTGTTGAAGGGCAGGTTGGATGGGGCTTGGAGCAACCTGGGCTGGTGGGAGGTGTCCCTGCCCATGCAGGGGGTTGGATCTGGATGGTCTTGAAGGTTCCTTCCAACCTGAACCAGTCTGGGATTCTGTGATTCCTTTGCTCTAGTCTGCCAGCTGCATAATTCAGAGGATATGTGCTAGTGAGAAGCCCTTTCAGAAGGGTGGGAGCAGCCATCAGGGTTCAGCTCCTCACGCTGGGGCACTGGTCTGTGTTGCTGCAGGCAGAGCAAGCCCCGCAATCGTCCCTCCTTCCGGCAGACGCTGATGCACCTGGACATCGCGTCTGCAGACGTGCTGGCTACTCCTCAGGAAACCTATTTCAAGTCACAGGTAACTGAACACTGGTTGCGACCCCCCGCGTGCTGGAGTTTCCTTCTCATTCCCTCCTCAGGAGCAGGCAATAGCTCACTGGGTAGGGCTCAGAGGAATCTATAAGAACACACTTTTAGATCTTCTCTGAAAGACCTGGTGTCCCTTCATTGCCCTACGTGGCTCTTTGTCCCCTGGCTGCCCTGCTCCTCCTCACTGGAAATGGAATGGTTCTGCTCTCAGCAGTCTTCTGGTCTTCTCATGGTACAGCAGTACTGGGAGAAGGGCTGGGAGCAGAACATCTGAAGTCAGTAGTTTTGGGGAGAAATGAATGAGACACCGCTGAGCTTCTGCCTAGAGTTGGCAGGTGTCTCAGTTTGTCCAAGTCTGGGGAAAAGGTTTTAGAACCCCCTTGGGTTTGCTCCTCCCCAGGAAGCAAACTGAAATCCTGGATCCAGGCTTTCATTGCACTCGAGGCAGCCTCTGCAGTAAGCTCCTTGGAGCTACCATTTGAAAATGCTGAAGCTAAACGTGCTGCAATGTCATTACCCAAAAGAACCCAGCTGACAGAAACATGTTTCCAACCCAAACCTGTAATTTTCTGCAGACACAAAGAATGTTGTCCATGAGTTTTACTTCGGTGTGTTCAGGAATCCCAATCTTTTGTAAATACCTGAAAGTAAATTGCTTCCCTAGGCTGAATGGAGAGAAGAAGTGAAGAAGCATTTTGAGAAAATTAAAAGTGAAGGCACTTGTATCCATCGGCTGGATGAGGAATTGATTCGCCGGCGAAGAGAAGAGCTCAGGTCTGTTTGACAGCCTTTCATGTTCACTGCTCTCTCTTCCCATCCAGCCTTTTCTTCTCCAGCTAAATGAGCTCCCTCAGCTTCTCTTCACAGGACATGTGCTCCAGCCCCTGACTGTTTTCGTGTTCTCTTGTACTGAGGACCCCAAAACAAGACTCTCTATTCCTGGTGGCTTAAATTCGAGCAGACTAAACTGGTTTTGAGTCCAGAAACTGAAGTTCCTGCAGACATGCTCCAGGCCTTGATCACTGCTTGGCTGAGGGAAACCTAGAGAAGGAGGAACAGTGGAAACTCTCCCTGTTCTTGAACAGTGTGAACAGTTTGCTTCAGGCAAGAGGGGCAAAGCCTTGTGTGTTAACCAGGGAATATTTCTGCCTGAATTTTGGTGTGTGTGATAATGGTGCTGGAGCAGGTACCTCCATCTCAGTGGAAAAGGCATCTTGCAGATTGCTGGGAGCTTTCTCTGCCCTCATACTTTCTCTGGATTATTATTTCCAGAGGAGTGAACACACTCCCAACCCACTGAAATTCATGTTAAACGTTTGACTAATGTAAAAGTGAAAGCAGAGTGTTGATTTAAGGAAGGAAAGTGTTCTCTTCTGTGACACAAATTTGCAAGTATAGTTATGGCATAGAAACATAAACAAGCAAGTAGCAGTCCTGTGTCAAACCTGAGAAGCCACAGGAAACCTTGTTCAGCCAGTTTGGTGTGGCTGCTGTTCAGTGCTCCCTAGCCCTAGGGAGCTGCTGGTGGTCTTTCTGCTGGGATTTGGGATATCTCCTGCAAATACCCTGCAGCTGCAGAGGCACGTTGCTGCTTATGAGATACAGACAGATTATTTCTTCCCTTGATTCTTTAGATGCTGACTTAGCCCCTTCTCTGTGCAAACAGGGTGATCATGGCTTAGCCAAAGGGCCTGTGAATGCACCTGAGGCATCTGCAGCTTCCCTAGTGAGGGGCATTGTCCCTCTCACAAGATATTTTCCTAAATCACCTCATGATTCATTGCAGTGTCAGGTTCTCAATCTCCCTGCACTCTGAGCTCCCCCTGGGGTTCAGTGCTGCGACGCTGGCAAGGTTGGCTTTTCCTGAAGCACTTCTGCTTTTCCTTGTTATCCTCTCTTGGTCCCTGGGTACCAGAATGTGCAATGATGCCTTCTCTGGTTTGCAGACACGCCCTGGATATCCGTGAGCACTACGAGAGGAAGCTGGAGAGAGCCAATAACTTGTACATGGAGCTCAGTGCCATCATGCTGCAGCTGGAGGTCCGGGAGAAGGAGCTCATCAAGTATGTATCCCTGGGCAGACACAGGAGGCAGTGCAAACAGGAGGGGGAAATCCAGTGCTTCATTTCTAAACTGCACAGTGGGACTTGCAGATTGGGTGTCCTCTGACAAACTGCCAGGGTGAAGGAAGAGCTGGCAAGCAGAGAGAGGCCCCTTCAGAGCAGGTTGCTGCAGAGCACTTAGTGCTCCTGCCCTGGCCCAGTGTTTACTGACTGGGAGAAAGGCACCTTTCCCATTTGGAGCTGGCATCCTTGGGCCCCTTTGTAAGGAGAAAGCAGTGCTGTTTCTGGACTCTGCACCAGGGCCCTGCTCCAGCTGCCTGATCTCTGCAGAGGAAATGTGGAAAATGCCTGTGTCCTTTCCCAGGACAGCACGAGGTGTTTTTTTGCCCCTCCCAGTGCAGCTGTGGTTCTGTCCAGCAGGAGCTGCAGGTGATTAAAGAGAGAACTGATCTGTGGGAGGGTTTTTTTCAATTGTTTTTTTTTCTCCCCAACATTTCAGGAGGGAACAAGCAGTGGAAAAGAAATACCCTGGGACTTACAAACGCCACCCAGTCAGACCAATTATCCACCCCAACACGGTGGAGAAGCTGATGAAGAGGAAGGGGGTGTCCCATAAACCAGGCAGCCAGACCAAACGGTAAGAAGTAACCCCCAGTTCTGTGCCTGGAACCAGTCGTGGCTCCCCACTGGGATGAGCAGGCAGCTTCCTGCCCTTGCAGCCTGGCCCCAGCACAGGCCAGGCCAAGGGGCTGTTCCCTCTTGGGCTGGGTCTGAACCTCAGAACCACAATTGTTTAATTATCTTAAGGTAAAAGGGATGAATCCTGCCATCCCTTCTGCCTGGGCAGCTCTCTGGCAGTGTTTGGCCCAGCTGATGTTTTCAACAGATGATGGTGCTTTGACAAGAGGTATCTAAAGTGTGTCTTGAATTCCTACGTGTCCAAACAGAGAGCAGTTGGATCCTCCCTGACTTGAATGGTAACAAGCAGGATGAGGGGTTGTGGAAATCAGCCAGTCCTCAGGGAGGAGGGGTCCTTTGGAATTCCTAAGGAATTAAACTGGGATATCCAAGAGCTAGAGAGTCCTGATTAGCAGTGAATAATCACTTCTCAATATCCACATGGAATCATGGAATTGTCAAGGTTGGAAAAGACCTTCAAGATCACCAAGTCCAACCATCCACCCTACAACCCCTAACCACTAAACCATCTCATGAAACACCATGTCTGCTCCTTTTTTGAACATCTCCAGGGATGGTCCCTCCAGCACCTCCCTGGGCAGCCTGCTGCAAGGCCTCACCACTCCTTCTGAGAAGAAATCTTTTCTAATATTATAATATATTTATAGTATATAATAATATATAATATAATAATAATAAGATAAGCTTCTGAAATGAAGAGGCTGATAACCATCAGCTAATTGGGACCTTCTGGTGCTGAGTGTGGTACCTGCACATAGCAAGAGACATACCCTGCACCAGGGACTTGGGAGGGAGCTATTTTGGGAGCAGAACATCAAAATAAGAGCGGAAAGAGGAGAGTATGTGGCAGGAATTGGAAAAAGCAGCAAGAAGGGAGTGTAGAGCATGATGGAGAGGGGAAATTTGGGTTAGATATGAGGAAGAAATTATTCACTCTAAGTGTGGTGAGGAACTGGGATGGGTTGCCGAGGGAGGTTGTTGATGCCCCATCTCTGGAGGTTTTTAAGGCCAGGTTGGAGGAGGTTTTGTGGTGGGGATCCCTGCTCATGGCAGGGGGTTGGAACTGGATGATCTTTAAGGTCTCTTCCAACCTTCACGATTCTGTGATTCTGTGGGCTGAGTGGGAAGGGCCTTGGGTGCAGAGAATCAAAAGAAGAAGCCAAGCAGCTGAAGGGGAGGGGTGCCTGGAAGTGTTAGAGCAGGGTGTGCTCCTGGCTGCAGCTGCCCCTTCAGCCTGGCCCTGAGCCCGCGTCGTCCCTTCCTTTGTGCTTTAATGTGTTCACTTCTGCCCGCTGTCCCTCAGGCCAGATCTGCTGAAGTCAGAGGGCATACCCAGCACGGAAGCAGCATCCAATGGCTCCCCAGTCTCAGGAAGCCCCAAAATGTCCACGCTGAGCAGCAAGAGCCGCTACCGCAGCAAGCCCCGCCACCGCCGCGGGAACAGCAAGGGCAGCTACAACGACTTCGCCGGCATCTTGAAAAACCAGCCGGGGCAAGACGATGCAACCCCCCCTGCCCCACCACCACCTCCCCCTCCTCCTCATTCCCAGCACCCCAGCCCCCGGCTGCAGGCCCACGGGCAGGACATGGCCACCTGCGCCAACAACCTGCGGTACTTCGGCCCCGCAGCCGCGCTGCGCAGCCCCCTCAGCCAGCACGCCCAGCGCCGCGTCTCGGGCTCCAGCCCCGACCTCATCTCCACGGCCATGGAAGCAGACTGCAGGAGGCATCTGGAGAGCCCAGAAGGCAAGGCTGGTGGCTGGGAGTGTTGCAAAGCGGATCCCTACCGCTCCTGCCTCCCGTGCCGGGAAGAGGAGAGTGGTCGGGGGCGGCCGCCGCCTGCGGAGACGGGGCTGAGCCATTCCCAGTCCCCAACACCTGCCTCCCTGTATGAAAACGCCCAGTTCGTGGAGAAGCTGGAGGAAGAAGGCTTCAGCAGCTGTCAGTCAGCCCCTGCCCTGGGCACTCCCCAGCACGTGGCTTCCTCAGTGCTTCCTTGCAAAGGAAGGCCCCTTCAAAAGGTGAGGACAAAGCAGAGTGATTTGGGAAAGAAACCCAAAGCTTGCTCCTCTGTTCCCTCTCCATCACCCATGTGGCATAGGATGGAGGGCAGCAGCAAAGCCCTGTTTCCCACCCACAGTTACCTGTACAACTTTATCTTACAGGAATCCTGCCTGTAACAGTTTTGTTTTGTGCTCTGGATACACTTTTAAAGTCACTGTTACTGGGAAGCACCTGTGGGCAAATCAGAGTGGTCAAGTCAGGGTTTGGTAGGGCCTGGTTCTGTTACTTGCAGTTTAGCCAGTTTTTGTTTGAACTGAAACTTGATCTACTGAGTTTTTGTTGTTAAAACAGGCTCAAGATGTTTTTGAGCCTTTCTTCCAAACACGGGAAGGGGCAGATGCTTTCTTGTGGTGATGGTAAATACCATGGAACAGGTTGGTTGAGAATCTGGGGCACTGCTGTGCCTTGGAACACAAATGCAGCATTTGCCTTGGTCCTGGGGACATGCCTTTTGTTGCACGTGCCAGAAACTGTGCCCCCTGACTGAAAGTCATAGTTGTCATGATTTTTGGTGAGGATTTTGCAGGAGTCAAAAAGATGCTATGGCACATAGTTCTTCATTCCTGCTGCTTCTATCCCAAGTGGTGGGAGAAGTAGGAACCAGTCTGAGTGGAGCTGAAAGAGCAGGAAAACTGGGCCTGGGTGAAAATGCGAAGGAAAAGAGGATGAGTGCTAGCCAGGAGTGTGATTTGCACCCTGAATAAAGGGAGGAGGAGGAGGACCCTGTATTACAAGGGTATGGGTTGTGACAGAGGCTGAGTCTGAACCAGGGGTTGGCAGGTTGGACAGGATAGGAGGAAGCTGTAAAAAACAAGAGTGCAGAGGGAGAGGTGGATGAGAAGAGGAGAATAAACAGCTCAGTGCTTACTGAGGTAAAGAATGGAGCAAAACTCAAGTTTTCCTAGTGGGTGAAACCCACCAGCAAAGGCTGAGTCACCCCTCATCCTGCTCTGTGATGGGCTCGGGTAGAAGCTCTTATAGCCAAGAGTGCCAGATCAGCTCCATAATTTGTGTGGATTTCAGTGTGATACTGATTAGTTTATTTGTTTCTGTCACAGTCTGGAACATGATGTGCTCAGTGCCTGCTGAAGTACCCCAGTGGATTTCAAAGCCAATCACTCCAAATTCAGCAATGGCAGCATTAAGGCTGCCTGAAATAATCTCCCAGTGAGAAGATGCCTGAGTCAGTTTTCACTGATACACAAGTTGTTGTGTGGATTGTTCAGGCCCTGTTGAGTCAGTGACTTTGTCCTGGGGGACCAAGGGGCACTGTGGTTTGTTCTTGCACACGTGTGACACCTTCTTGTCCTTGTTCTCTGCCAGAGCGGTGATGACTCTTCGGAAGAGGAAGAGGGTGAAGTAGACAGTGAAGTGGAGTTTCCTCGTAGACAAAGGTAAAAGGTGACTTCACTCTAATCTCTCTTTGGTGGCACAGAGCTCAAGAGAGTTCAGAGTTCAAGGTTCTAGCAGAAGGACAGGATCCTGTTCAGCTCATCCCGTCAAGAGAGTTCAGAGTTCAAGGTTCTAGCAGGACAGGATCCTGTTCAGCTCATCCCATTTCCCTCAGCTCATCCTTCATGTTCCCTCGCTGCTTTCAGCCTGCTCTGAGATGTGACCTCTGCTGAGCTTTTCTGTTCTGTGTTGCTTGTAGCACACCTTGATTACTCTTGCCAACATTATTCAGCCTGTAGAGATCAGCTGCTGCATCTGTTTCACCAGAATCAGACCTGCTGGATGTTGAGACCCTTTGTGAACTCTTTCAGATGTTGATTATGAACTGCTGCTGCAGTGGGGGAGGCTCCAGCACCTCTGCAGTGGTGGGACTGAAGAGCCAGGTGACAACACAGCAGATCACACGTGATGGTGTCACCTGTAAAATAGGGCTTGAGGGGACAGAACTGCCCAGAGAGGTGGTGGAGTCACCATCCCTGGAAGTATTTAAAAGAAATACAGAAATAGTAACATGATTTAAGCACTGAACGGGTAAATCAGTAGGGGGTTATGGTAGGGGGATTTAGGTTATGGTTGGACTTGATCTTCAAGGTCCCTTTCTACCAGGATGATTCTGTGATTTTGTGCTACTGTACTAGAGGGCTTTACAGTCCTGTGCTCAGGAAAGAGACCATGGCTTTGGTGCAGTAGCTCTGTGGAAGCAGCTGCCTGAAGTGCAGAAGTGACCCTGGGGTCAGGTGGGTTAAGGGGTTGTTAGGAAAGGAGCAGAGAAGAAAATAAAAGCTGCTCTGCCATTTTGTACATCCATGGCACACCTGCAGCTGGAATCCTAAGTGCCACCTTCATTGCCCCAGCTCAAAGACCATGGTAAAATTTAAAATGTTACTGGGAAGTGTGACAGGAATAGTTAGAGATGGTTTCCACAGAAGAGGAGATGAAATCCAGGAGAGATGTTTGTCTAGCAGGAGGAGAGGCAGTACTGGAGGAGCATGAAATTGTGAGTTAGGCAGAGAAAGCAGAGAAGGAGTGATTTCCCCCCATTCATGCTCAGCACACCTAGTGCAGTAAACGGGGGGTTGTGAAGAAAAGGAAGTGCTTTTTCCATCACAACATTTCCAGGCATGAAGCTTAGTGCCAAGATAGGCTGTGGAAATCAAAACATCAACAAGTCATGAGTGTTGACCTTATGGAATGCAGATCCATCAGTGTCTGCTGAACTTAGCCATCCAGGTTTGATCTTCAGCTCAGGGATCAGATCTGCTGGGTGGTACAAAGCAGGAAGGTGTGCCAGGAGGAACCAGGCTCTGTCTGCACTCCCTGTCCTGTGTTCCTCAGATTCCTTCTTCCTGCCTAGTGCTGGAGACCACTCTGGGTTTACATCAGTCTTCTGACTCCTCTGGTTCCTGTGGGTGGGTTTGTTGCTCCTCCTGTGATTTTATTAACTTGGGAGACAAATTGCCTTTCCTGAACTCAATCTGATGACCTGTTGTGGGCTCCTGGCACGCTCAGTCACCCGAGCACCACTAGTGCTGAATCCTGGCGTGAAGTGATCTCCACATTCAGGTGGCAGTGAGCCTTTTTTTGGGGGGGGAACATACCTAAGTACTTGCCTGGCTGTTGGGACCAGCCTGAGGTGGCCCAGTTATTCTCAGTTGAATTAGCTTGAACCTTCTAGCACAGCCTTTCCTTGGGAAAAAGGACTGTTAAAGAAAAACATGCTCCAGGACCTTCAGTGGGCTCCTAGGACAGCAGTGGGGACCAGGATGGGGGCCTGTCACGGCCAGGTTTAGCAGAGTAGCTGAACACACCACCCAGGAAACTGCTTTTCCTTTGCAATCAGAGGTAGAAGGTGGGCACTGAACTACTCTCCTGGTTTGCAGACCCCACCGCTGCATCAGCAGCTGCCAGTCCTACTCCACCTTCAGCTCCGAGAACTTCTCCGTGTCCGACGGGGAGGAGGGGAACACGAGCGATCATTCCAACAGCCCGGATGAGCTGGCCACCAAGCTGGAGGACGAGCTGGTGGAGAAGCTAGAGGACATGTTGTCCCAGACTCCAGAGATCCCCATAGAAATCTCCACCCAGTCTGATGGGCTTTCAGACAAGGAGTGTGCTGTGAGGAGGGTGAAGACTCAGATGTCTCTGGGCAAACTGTGTGCGGACGAGCACAGCTGTGAGGTGAGTGTAGCTCTGCCTTCTGTTGGGTGAAAAAAAAACCCCACCACATTATGGAAGGGAATCCAAGGGCCAGAAAGTTGGATGACTGCCTAGGAGGTGCTGTGGTAGATGTGCTGCAGCAAAGCTGTGTCAGTGCACAGCCTGTCTCATGCTTCATCAGATGAGTAGATGAGGCAAAGCTGAACCTCACTTGTTGGTCAAGATGAGTGGGATACTGGGAGGTCATCAGATTTGAATTTAGTAGGATAAAAAAACAACACACAAAGTAGATGATGAAACGGCAGGGACATAAACTGACTGCCTCAGTTATTCATTGGCAGCCCTGCTGAGGGAGCTAGAGCGATTTTCTTCCTGTTACTGGCTTTCAAGTGTTGTGAGGGGTAGGGCAGAGCCTGCTGCACCCTCTTCTCATAACTGTCACTGTTTGGTGCTCTGACCAGAAATTTTCTGCTGTCTCCTCATTGAGGAGAGGCAGGTGACCTTTGGTAGGGTGTTTGTGTGTTGTTGATGTCTCCTCTGTGCTGCCAATCTGCTGGTTTTTGCCTGTCTGCTGTTACAGGGATGGAGTGGTTGATCTGCAGTGCAGAAACGTTCCTCCCATCTTCCCTTTCCCTTTTGCTTCGCAGAACCCAGCACAGTTTGGAGAATCGGACTGTGACTCTTCTGAAGGGGAGTGTTCTGATGCCACAGTCAGGACCAATAAGCCCTGCAGCTCTGCTACTTGGTAATACAGATCTCCCCCAAAGCTTCCCGATACTGGCATTTTGATTTCCCCGAGATTCCACTTCATTCCCCTTCATCACACTTTATAGGAAGAGAAGATGCTTCTCCTTCCCACCCCAGGAGTGATTTGCAATAACCTGAACCTCTGGAAAATGTCCAAATGAAATTAATTCTCTTTGAGCATTTCAATCAAGAATGGCAGGGATGTATTTTATTGAATAATCTAGTTACTGTAACATGGATATTTATTTTTTTGACATTTTAACACTTTTTACTGTAAAGAGTGGATTGTATTTATAGACACACAGACTTGTTGCAAAAAAAAAGACAAAACAAAAAAAACATTCAGAAAGCAAGCACATTACAGAGAAACATCCTGGGAGTCCTGCCTGGACAGCTTTGTGTACAGACACTGGGGATTCTCTTGCTGCTTTCACAGGGGACCAGGCCTTGTGGCCCTGAAGATTGGAGAACAGATCAAGAAAACTAAACCACTCAGTCTTATCAAATGAGGAAGCATAAACAGACCTTAACTGTAGGGTAACCTGTGAACAAAGCATATTCAGTATAACCAGCTGGGTCATTTTTAATCAGAAGGTGGACATGTTCCTGGAGAAAATTGGTACTGAGGTGCTAAGATCCAGGGTCTTCTGAGTCAATACATCCCCAGGAATGTAACAGTGGGTTTTATTTTCAGGATTTTTAGTTCCTTTTTTTAATCAGCATTTTGTTGTGAGATCCTGCAAATGTATTCTAACCTCGTCCTCTCAAGAACTGGTGTAAGAGCACTTCTTAACATCCTCCTTGCTCCACTCTGGTAGTGTCAATCTCCAGCTGAGCAGGGAAACCTCTTTCAGATGCAGTGTGCCATTTCCCAGTTTGCTTCCTCCTCTTACCTCCTGCCTGTTCCAGTCAGTCAAAGAAATCAATCAAATCAGTGTTGGAAAAGCAAGAACTCAACAAAAGGTGGAAAGCACATCCTGCAGAGCCCGAGCACTCTTCTGAGGAGGAAGCTGGAGATGCCCGTACTGGACTTGGAGAAGCAGTCTCTCACCTACAACAGCACCCATAACCAGCAGAGAGCTGTGTGTTGAGGGGGAAGACTGGGAATCACTGGTTGGGATCAGAGCCCTGCTCTGTCTCCTTATTCACTGCACGTTCTTGAAAGCATTAACAGCTGCCTGCCCTTCATGTCAGGCTTTGTGCAAAACAGGTTGCACAGGGAGTCTGGATGGTGGTGGCTGTGGCACAGCTGTGTCTCAGGTGTACCCTGGGGCCTCCCTTTCTCCTTCAAGCTGAAGCCCTGCAGGTGGAGGTGAGGATGGGGCTGGTATATGACAGGCCGAGGCATTGGCAGATGAGAGAGAAATGTGTTTTCTGATAGAACTCATAGTGCCTTCCCTTCAAACACTACTCTTCTAAATATTTAAAGAGAACAAAACGATAGAGCACGTTTCCTTCTCCCTCCCCCCTTAGTTGATGTCTCCCTACAAGAGCTTTCCCTCTGCCCTTCCCAGTGTGCAGGCTGGTGGGACCATGTCACACGTGTGGCATGTGGCTGTGCTGGGGGTTGCTGCTCTGCAGACCAGCACACCAGCCTGAGATGAACGGCAGGAATGGACTATGGACAGGTACTTCTGTTGCTTTGTTTGTTTACATTTTGTGTTCAAATATTGGTTTGAATTGAACTGTGGTAATTTATAGCCTCGTGGCAAAATGAAGGAAAAATGTCTTATACAGAGAGCAGTATTGTATGAGTTAAATTATCCCATATTTTTAAATTTTTGTAGCTGGACTACACACAGATCTTTTAAGTTATGATGTTCTTTTATTATTTATTATCATTTCTGTAGATCAGAAGGTTGGCTTCACCTCTAGCACAACTGTTTGTGTGATGTTCCTTCCCCCCGGTCGCTGCTGGGAGGGAAGCAGGGCTGGTCTCAGGGGCTGTCAGCAGGGGCTGCCTCCCGGGGCTCCCAAGGATGCTGTTATCCCGGGGCTCCCAAGGATGCTGTTATCCCGGGGATCCCAAGGATGCTGTTATCCCGGGGGAGGGAACCTGTCAGGGCTGGGTGCAGGCAGCCCCGGGGGCCCTGGGATCCTCCTCAGGGTCAAAGCTGCCATTTGCTCCCCCTGCCAGTAGAGGTGGCAGCCCCTGAGCTGGTGGGAGTGGTGACCAGGGAGAAGAGTGACTTCTGAGCTGATGGCAAAGGAAATAAACCATCCCACAGCCAGAGCATCCCAAGGGATGAGCAGAGAGGAGGGCAGCGGGTGTGAGACCCGGGGGGGCCAGCAGAGGATCCCCGTGGTGAGTCAGGACCAAAGAGGTTGCTGGAGAGGAGCCACCAGCTCAGTGTGTTCCTGGCTCCTTTTCTTGTTTCCTCTCTCTTCCCAATCCTCGTAGCTCCTTCCAGATGTTCTCCAGCAGGAGGAGGAGGTGGCAGGGCCAGAGCTGGCTTTGCTGTCACAGTGTCAGAGGGGCTTTGGTGTGGAAGAGGTTGTGCAGATGCTTCTTGCTCTGGAGGCTGGAGGCCAGGGGGGCAGGGCTTTAGCAGTGGAGAACTGTGTGCACCTGACATGCACTCTGAGAAGAAAACCAAACTGCTGCCTCAAGGGAGGTTGAGAACCCACCATCAGGTGTGTGTCCCCCAGCAGAGGGTGCCAGGACCTTCACCCCTGGGGGGGCTCTGCTGCTCAGGGCTGGCAGGATGCTGAGCTGCTCCCTGCCTGTGGGCACTGCCCTGTCACCTTGGCTATGGCTCTGGGGTAGCCCTGCTCTCCTCTGGGGCAGCCCCACAGCCACGGGCCCCAAGCAGGGCTGCTCCATGCAGGGATTTCAGCCTGTCATGGCTCGGTCCCTACACAAAAGAGATCCCAGAGGGGTTTGGTGGCTGTGGGCTCTGCTCAGAGCGTGTGAGGAAGCTCCTCTGGGCTTGCAGAGAGGCACAGAAGCTTGGACAGGTGGGATTTTGAGACCCTTCTGAGTTGGCTGTTGCAGGTGCGTGCTGGTTCTTCCCTGTCCTTGCCTGAGGACATGGTGGCCGATCCTGCAGCCTGGAAAAGCAAAGCTGAGCCCTTCACCTTGTCTGCTGCCACCCTGGGCTCTGGTCTCTCTGCACCCCCGGGTGGTTGCCCTGTTCAGAGCTCAGTGTCACCCCTTGGCTGCTGCCACCTGTGCCATGTCCCCAGGGCTGCCAGTCCTGCAGGGCTGGGACAGGCAGGTCCCTTAGCCGGGGCACCCCAACAGACCTCCCTGCAGGCAGCTGTGGGTCCTGACACCTCCTCTCCTGGCAGGGTGTGGGGCTCAGCCTCCCCGCAGCGTTTTCAGGGCAGGAGGAAACCACCAGGTTCCTTTCCCAGCTTCCCTGCTGCAGCTCCCCTGGCTGCTGACAGCTCCTGAGCACTAGCCTAGATTTCCTCCCAGAGCTGAATGTTGCCTTCCCCACTGTCGTGTTGAGTAACCATTTCATCTTGGCCCTGTCCAGTAGTGTTCATCTCTCTCCTCCCTGCTCTGTGGATTCCTGATACAAACTTGATTATTATTATTTTTTTTGTATTGAACAGTGTACAGTGATGGAAACAAGAATGACTATCAAAGCAAACAATGCATGGAATAAAAAGCCAGTGTACTTCAATGCTTCTCAGCCTGGCCTGGTGATCTGGGAATGGTTTCTCTTCTACTTGAAGCCTTTTAATAACTTAACACGTTAGCGAGCGTTGAGTTTACATGTTGATTTTTACCTGAGCACAGGTGAACTGGAGCTGCTGGGAGCTCCAAGGAGCAGGGCAGAGGCTTGGTCAGACACACACAGCTCAGACGTGTCAAATGAGTGATGTTTGCAATGTGGGCTGGGGGTTGACTCTTCCACTGGGACTTCTCACCCTGGCTCCCTTACTCTCACTTAGTTCCAACCCTGCTGGTGGGGAAGGTGCTAAAATGGAGTAAGAATTCACTCTGTCAGCTTCCCCAGTGCTCTGGGGTCTCCCATTTGCCCCCTTCCATGCCAGAGAGTTTGTCCTCTTGAGTGGAGGGCAAACTCAAGAGAGAGCAAAGAGCTGCAAATACCAAGAGCCCAGGAGCACCAGCATCACCCCTGGGGGCTGGTCTCCAGCTCATTTGCAAACCTTCTAGTAACACATGAGCAAACGTGTAGGTTTAAAGGTACTTCTCAAGGACAAACTTCTGCCAGCCAGACACATCCATGCCTCTCTTTCCCCCTTACTCTGCATGGGGAGTAGCAGCCAGACCTCAGAGGCAACCCTGTGTGTGCTGACTGGAGTGATGCACTGGGCCAGCCCATTGCTCGCCCCAAATCCTGAGGGATTTTGCTGCAGGAGGGGACATGCACTTCACAGCTGGATGACAGAGGAAGTCTCCTAGAAATGGGAATGTTCTCCTGCAGAAGCACCCTGGAGCATGGTCACATTTTCTCAGCTTGGTGCTACTGCATCTAACAGCACACGAGCACCTGCCTTGTCATTTTAGGCCAAAAATGCTCAGTATCTGTGGGTTGGGAGAGGGCAGGGGAGGAGGGAGCAGGCCTGCCTAGAGCTGGGAAACACTGCTACTGGAACGGTGGTGAAAAACAGCCAAGGCTTCTGCTGCTGTAGCTCAACAGCCCCTGTGTGGGGAGCACAGGACCCCCAGGGAAGCCAGTGACTGGCAGGGAGACCAATGCTTGGCCCTTTGCTCAGCAGCTGGGAGGGATTAAGGGAGGTTCTGATTTGCCTTCCTCTCAGGATGCTAATACTCCTGGGTTGTTATTTTCCCCACTGCTCACACATTTACAGTGGGCTCGCAACCCCCTCAGGCACACTGGAGAGAGGCTGATTTAAAAGAAACAGGCAAATGACTGTAGTGTTCACAAAGCCCCTGCACAGTGCTCTTGTGCAGATCCAGGCACAGCCACACACTCATGACAAATAAGAATCTCACACCTCCTCTTAGGAGAGAGGAATGATTAAAATCTGCAATTGTCCTTGGTCCACAGAGCATGCAGAATATAACCCCCAGGAACAGACCCCAAGATCTGGGGGCAGCTCCATCACAAGCTCTTCTTGCCATTGAGTAACTGAGCTTGCTTGTCTTCATCCAGCTTCAAGTGCTTCTTGCTGTATTTCTTGATGAGAGCCCCTGGTATCAGTGCTGCCACAGCCATGGCAAGAAGCTTGAGCAGTGTTCCCCAGGAGAAGATGGCATCCAGGGAGGTGATCTGTGACAGGATGGCTCCTGTCTGCACACAGATGAAATTATATGGTGTGAGACCTGGAAGAAACAGAGCACAAAAAAAACCTGATAGCATCTCCCCTGGTAAAGTCAGCTCAGACATGTTGAAGAATCAGACTGGTTTGGGTTGGAAGGGACCTTGAAGATCATCCAGATCCAACCCCCTGCATGGGCAGGGACACCTCCCACCAGCCCAGGCTGCTCCAAGCCCCATCCAACCTGCCCTTCAACACTGCCAGGGATGGGGCAGCCACAGCTTCCCTGGGCAACCTGGGCCAGGCTCTCACCACCCTCACACTCCACAATTCCCTCCTCATGTCTCACCTCAGTCTCCCCTCTTCCAGTTTTCATCCCTTCCCCCTTGTCCCTCCCTGGCCCAAAGCCAGACACAGGGGTCTGTGTCTGGAAAGACACAGAAAGAACTGAAAGAACAGGGTGTGATTCCAAGCCTTGTTGCCCTGGTGATGCACACCCACTCACAAAATGCTCTGAGACCCCTGAGTATAAAGGTGGCACAAAGGCAAAGAACTCCATGGGCAGAGTCACAGCTGCCACCCCTGCTGCTCTGCCTCCCCCAGGCTGGGCTCACACTGCCCCCTCAGTGTCCCCAGCCCTTACCAATGAGAACGGAGAAGAAGAACTGGGACAGAGGGATGTTTAAAATGGGAGCCGAGAGGTTCAGAAACCAGTTTGGTGTCATGGGGAACAGCCTCAGGAACAACAAGAAGAAAAACAAGGAGCTCCTGTTCTCTTCTACCTGTCAAGAGAAACATTCCAAGCCATTTGTGCTCCTCAGCCAGCAGCAGCACCTGCAGGGCCACAACACTGAAGGGGAGGCAAGTTTTCTCCTCCATCAGGAACACCACATCAGGCCAGAGCTGATGGAAAATGGCAACTTTACGGGTTTCTGGGAGCCAGCCCCTTCCACACAAGCAGTGACAATGGGATCTAACCTGAACGAGAGGCTGGGAAGTCGAGAGCAGAACCACCTCCAGCTGCACAAGGCAGCACAGGGTGTTTAGGGGCAGTTCTGCAGCACAGGGGCTTCCCAATCGATCCCTTCTTTCTGATTTCCCCCTGGGATCTGGGGTTTTGCAACCAGGCCGGTTCCCAGGAGAGCAGCAGGTCCCACAGGAGCAGGGCTCCTCACCTTCCTCTGCAGCAGAGCCACCTTATCGGGGAAGTAGCAGACGAGGAGCTGCTTCCCGAAGAGGCGGGACAGCAGGAAGCAGCAGGTGGCTCCCAGGGAGGTCAGCACCGAGCACAGCACCAGCCCGGTCCAGGGCCCGAAGAGCGCGCCGGCCAGGACGTTCTGCGGGGACACAGGGGTGAGGGGCCCGGGGACATGGGCAGGAGCTCCCGAGGCCCCTTCCCGAGGGCACCGGCCCTACCAGGAGGCTGGAGCCCGGGATGGCGAAGCTCTGCTTGTACAGGTAGGCAGCACAGAACAGGGCCAGGGCCGCGCCGCGGTGCTGCCGCTCGTAGTCCCGCAGCGCCCGGGCCAGTTCCTGCAGCTCCCCCCCG